AGCTGCTGGGATGAGCATGTTCAAGTATTATCTGAGTTGTTATGAAGACTGAGGGCAGCGGACATAACAACTAGACCATCCAAGTGTGTTCTGGGTGCAACATCAGTAGAATTCCTGGGTCATGAAATTGGACACAATTGAGTGAGTCAGAGTCACGACAACATGGAAAAAATTCGAGAAGCGCAAAGACCAGCAACCAAGAAAGGTGTCCGATCATTCTTTGGGCTGGTCAATTACTACAGAGACCACATCCCCTTATTTGCAACTATTGCAGCACCCCTGAGTGTCCTACTAAAGAAAGGACAACCCAACAAAGTTGTATGAAGAGAGGCCCAGGAGAAAGCATACAACACTTTGCGGGATTACATATTGGGCAAACCAATTTTGAAGTTGCCAGACCCACAGAAACCATTTGTGTTGTGGACGGACGCGTCTCAGGTAGGAATTGGAGCAGTACTTATGCAGAATCATGGTGAGAAGCTTCATCCAGTTGCTTATGCAAGTAAGAAGTTATCCGATGCAGAAAAGAAATATTCAACTGTAGAACCATCACACCTGTACTATATCAATTACGGCATTATTACGTTGCGTGTGACACAGTGCCACAGTCGCCATGCAGTTCCACAGTCGTCACGCAGTGGCACGGTCGTCACGCAGTGCTACAGTCATCACGCAGTGCCACAATCGTCATGTAGTGCCATGGTCGTCACACAGTGCCACAGTGGTCACACTGTGCCACGGTTGTCAAGCAGTGTCACGGTCGTCACACAGTGCCACAGTCGTCACGCTGTGCCACGGTCGTCAAGCAGTGCCACTTTCGTCACGCTGTGCCACAGTGGTCACGCTGTGCCACAATCGTCAAGCAGTGCCACAGTCGTCATGCAGTGCCACAGTCTTCACGCTGTGCCATGGTCGTCAAGCAGTGCCACAGTCGCCACACAGTGCCATAGTCACCACACTGTGCCACGGTCATCAAGCAGTGCCATAGTCGTCACGCTGTGTCACAGTGGTCACGCTGTGCCACAGTAGTCACGCTGTGCTACAATCGTCACGCAGTGCCATAGTCGTCACGCTGTGCCACGGTCGTCAAGCAGTGCCACTGTCGTCACGCAGTGCCACAGTGGTCACGCTGTGCCACAGTAGTCACGCTGTGCCACAGTCGTCACGCAGTGCCATAGTCGTCACACAGTGCCACAGTGGTCACGCTGTGCCACAGTAGTCACGCTGTGCCACAGTCGTCACACAGTGCCACAGTCGTCACGCTGTGCCACAGTGGTCACGCAGTGCCACAGTCGTCATGCTGTGCCACAGTGGTCACGCAGTGCCACAGTCGTCACGCTGTGCCACAGTCATCACGCTGTGCCACGGTCG